GTAAAATATATTTCAAAATATATTTACATATATTGTATAAAATATATTTTCTTCTATTTAAATTTAAGATATTTAAATATATGAAAATGTATTTATTATTAATATATTTCAGTCTATGTGACTTCTGTATGGGCTGAATGCTTTCATTCATATTTCGCTGTATATCCTATGTTTATATTAATAATTTGGGTGTATTTTACTATTCATATTTGTGCGTTTTTTCAAAATAAATTAACTGAATTCATTTCGAGTCTGTATTCATCATTCACAGCTGTTGAAACAGCCTTTAAATTAGTTTGGGCATAAGAGGACATAAATTAGGTTAAACTACTGCATGTCCGCCAATAGAAAATAAATAATTTTAAAAATTTACCAACTGATTACCAGCACACAACTACTGATCCACGACGTTGCCACGACGTCGCAGTTACTAACTGGCAAAGTTATGTTGTGGCGACGAAACTGGGGCTGTGTTCGAAATTGCCCCCTATACCCTCATTCACTATTCCCTACATTAGGACACTAATTCAGTTCACTAGAAGGAGTAAATGAAAACGAGTGAGTTGGTTAAAAATATAAAAAAATTATCCGAGATTAGGTAAAAACCATATAGGGCTAGGCTGTGTTCAAAATCACCCATGCCCTCATTCATTATTCCTATTATATTGTTATAATTAGTTAATTTGAAGGAGTGAATGAAAACGGGTGAGTGTGCCAAAAGGGCTGCCTAGTTTGTGCTTGTAGTTTAATAATCATTTGAAACTTAAGCTAGCAGCTATAGTAGTATAAACTCGTGGAAACTAGCATGTATTAACATTAATTAAGCTATTTAATAATAAATAAAAAAACGAAATGTATGTGTAAGAGCCAGGTATAGTTCTATTATTTTGTACACATTTTTTGTGTTAATTGCGGCACCTGGTGGTGGTGGAAGTAGTAAGAATTTATCATCTGTTCTAGTGATGGGAAGTTCGGATCATTTTACCGACTCGGACCTTTGAGTCTCGTTCAGCAAAATGAAATGTTGTTGGCTTTACCTTGGATTCGTCACGTTGGTTATTATATCGTGCCTAAAGGTGATTGCTGTGGCTATTAATGTTGTTGGCTTTACGTTGGATCTATACTGCAATGATTGTTTGCATCTGTCTTGTATGCACAAAATGAGTGGATCAAGGGCTGGCTCAACTTCATCTAAAATGGAGAAAAGAAAAATCACTCTGACCGCAAAGGCTTTGGCAAGCAAGATCGAGTCAATTCAGAAACAGCATAAAGAGGAAGTAAACAAATTAAAGAGCCAGATATTGTCTCTCAAAGAGCTCATGAGGGATGATCAAAATGTTTCACAAGTTAAAGCACAGTTTGATTTTCTGCTGCAACTGTCTGAAAATGCCACTGCATTGCACGAATCTCTGATGCCTTTAAATTCCATCTGATGAACAAGAAAGACAAAATGCATGGTTCGTATGCATCACCGAATACAATCAAGGATGTACTAATGATGCCAAAGCGTGGATTTCAGAAGTAAACAGGCCTCGTTTAGAGCTTACTCATGACATTGAGTGTCATCAGGAAGTTCTGTTAAGGGAAGAAAGTGGGATTCATGAGGATGTAAAAAGGGGACAACGGCAACCATCTTCTCAAAATGATGACCAGGATGACATATTGCCATGTGACAGTATATCAAACCTAAGCAGTAAAAAAAACAAGGTTCAAAATCAAATGTTTCCACTACTTCATCTGCACGTATTAAAGCAGAGGCTGAAACAGCAGTTCTGCTTGCAGGAAAAACATTCTCTTGAGGAGCAGGAAGAGAAATTAAGACAACAAAAAGAAGAGCTTCAGCTTAAGGCAGATATAGCCGCATCAATGGCAAAGGTGAATGTTTTAAGGATCTCTGGATCTGGTGTGCGGAGTGCTGCTTCTCATCGATCTGATGGCATGGAGTCATATTTTAAGAAAAAAGGAAAAGCAGTTGAAGCTCTTAACCTTGATGCAGAAACTTTTGTTCCACAAAAACTTGGAAAGAATGAAAAGGGAAAACCAGCAACTGGAAATGCTGATTTACATTTTGGAAGGCTAAAACAGAAAAGGACAGACAATACCATTCATCTCCAGCAGAGGCCCTCGGAGCTCATGAGACAGAGCACAGTTCCAAATACTACTGCACCACCAGTGTCTCGTCATAGAGATGCACATACACTCTTTTCCACGAATATTAACAGTGACCAGAACCACATGTTGTCTATATTGGGAAAACAGAATGAGATAACATCAATGCTGGTGCATCAGCAATGTCTTGCATCACTGCCTAAGAGAGATATCCAAATATTTGATGGTGACCCTCTACAGTACCATGCTTTCATGCGGTCTTTTGAACAAGTAATTGAGGGAAAGACTGACAATGCTGAAGATAGCCTGCATTTTTTGGAACGGTACACCAGGGGGCAACCACAGCAACTTGTTAAGAGCTGTCAACACATAACTGATGGCTCAGGTTATGCAAAGGCAAAGATTTACTGCATGAACACTTTGGAAACTAACATATGATTGCATCTGCTTATTTGAATAAAGTTTCTTCATGGCCAACAATTAAGTCAGAAGATGGAAAGACTTTACATGCATACAGTCTGTTCTTGCGTGGATGTTGCAATGCCATGGATGAGGTTTCATAGCCTGTGTGAATTGAATACACCTGCCAATATGATTGCTATAATTAAGAGATTCATTGCACGAATCTCTGATGCCTTTAATTCCATCTGATGAACAAGAAAGACAAAATGCATGGTTTGTAAGCATCACCGAATACAATCAAGGATTTATTAATGATGCCAAAGCGTGGATTTCAGAAGTAAACAGGCCTCGTTTAGAGCTAACTCATGATGTTGAGTGTCACCAGGAAGTTCTGTTAAGGGAAGAAAGTGGGATTCATGAGGATGTAAAAAGGGGACAACGGCCACCATCTTCTCAAAATGATGACCAGGATGACATATTGCCATGTGACACTATATCAAACCTAAGCAGTAAAAAACAAGGTTCAAAATCAAATGTTTCCACTACTTCATCTGCACGTATTAAAGCAGAGGCTGAAACAGCAGTTCTGCTTGCAGGAAAAACATTCTCTTGAGGAGCAGGAAGAGAAATTAAGACAACAAAAAGAAGAGCTTCAGCTTAAGGCAGATATAGCCGCATCAATGGCAAAGGTGAATGTTTTAAGGATCTCTGGATCTGGTGTGCGGAGTGCTGCTTCTCATCGATCTGATGGCATGGAGTCATATTTTAAGAAAAAAGGAAAAGCAGTTGAAGCTCTTAACCTTGATGCAGAAACTTTTGTTCCACAAAAACTTGGAAAGGATGAAAAGGGAAAACCAGCAACTGGAAATGCTGATTTACATTTTGGAAGGCTAAAACAGAAAAGGACAGACAATACCATTCATCTCCAGCAGAGGCCCTCGGAGCTCATGAGACAGAACATAGTTCCAAATGCTACTGCACCTACTGTGTCTCATCATAGAGATGCACATACACTCTTTTCCACTAATATTAACAGTGACCAGAACCACGTTGTCTATAATTGGAAAACAGAATGAGATAACATCAATGCTGGTGCATCAGCAATGTCTTGCATCACTGCCTAAGAGAGATATCCAAATATTTGATGGTGACCCTCTACCGTACCATGCTTTCATGCGGTCTTTTGAACAAGTAATTGAGGGAAAGACTGATAATGCTGAAGATAGCCTGCATTTTTTGGAACAGTACACCAGGGGGCAACCACAACAGCTGTCAACATGTAACTGATGGCTCAGGTTATGCAAAGGCAAAGACTTTACTGCATGAACACTTTGGAAACAAACGTCTCAGGTTACTTATGTAACCATGGTTCCCTGAGTAGGGAACGAGACACTGCGTCCTCTAGGGGTCGCTATGGGGAATGCCTCGTCGTGACCCGTGTCTGAAGCATACATTGAAAAAACACCAACTCGTTGGCCGGCGACAGCCATGACGTCACTACCGGTGCGACTATAGTATAAATAAGCGCCGGGAGCTACACATCATTCACTTCTTCGTCTGAAGCTTGCGTCCGCAGCATGGCAAGAAACCTAGAGGACGCAGTGTCTCGTTCCCTACTCAGGGAACCATGGTTACATAAGTAACCTAAGACGTTTTCACCAACTTCATATTTCAATTTGACTAAGCTTAAATTTCAAGGCAGCATTAAGTTGTAAAAGGTTTTTTTTTTAACAGTGAGTCTAATCCATTTAAGCTTGATTTTTGCCCAGAGCCGGCCCAAGGCATAAGTGAACTAAGGGGCTGCTTAGGGCCCCGTGGCCACCAGGGGGCCCCCAAGAGTACATGAAATGGCTTGATTTTTTTCGGAGTGTCTATTTACACTAAGTGCAAATAGCCCGCCTTGTTGGCAGAGTCTATTTACACGAACTCCGCCCACCAACGTGTGATTCGGCTAGTGAACATTACACAAAAGACAGCCAACAGTCATCAGCTCCAGTGGCGCAGATGGTAAAACGTGTGACTTGCTCATTTTGACACGATCGACCCGGGTTCGAATCCACATTTTGGCAAACTTTTTTCTCCCTTTTCAAATTTCAAATCACATCAGAAAAATGTAACATTGAAATTTATTTTCAATGAAGATGAAGGAAATAATCAAAAAGTTGAAAATAAAGTATCGGGTAGGGTTAGGGTAGGTGTAGGGAGGGATGCCACCTTATTGTCCCAATAAGGTGGCATCCATTTAATAATTTGAATTAAATTTAAAGTTTACACTCAATAAGTTATTATTGCATACTGTTTTATAATGTACTATAATACTGAGGTGCAGATAATTGCCACTATTTGCAAAAAGTAAAATCCTGCTATTTGAACATAGTGTAAATATAATCTTCGCTATTTACACAGTGCAAATAGCCGCTGCCGATTTTTTTATTTTTTTTGGTGATATATTGTGTCAATGGCAATGGTAATTATACAAAAACGCATTAATAAATAATTAAATAATCTATACATGGAGCACTGTACACAATCCTGCAGACCTTGCCTCCAGAGGTGTGAGGGCTGAGCTATTCCTAAACAACAAATCTTGGATATTTGGTCCCTCATTTCTCTTGAAATCAGAAGAAGACTGGCCTGTTAACCCAGATGAATTGCTACAACTTCCATCTGGAGACACCGAGGTCAAGGTACCAGCTGCAATTGAAGTTTCTTCAATAGGGGATGAAAATGATGCCGTGACTTGTTTGATCAACTGCACCTCATCCTGGATACGTCTAATAAGAGTGATGGGTTGGATCCTAAGATTTAAAGCTTTGCTTTTGAATCTTAGGAAAATGAAGGAGTTCACTGCACATCTTACTGAGTCTGTGTCAGATGTAACTCAACAGGAAGATGCTCGCACAAGATCTTGGCAAGATGTGTGGTGTGTCGGCGGCTACAGGGAGCTGCAGGTCAACAACAGATGGCAGAACCTCCCTTTAGTCGTGTTGGAGTCGACTACTTTGGCCCGTTTGAACGTGGGAGGAGTCTTGTAAAAAGATATGGAGTTATCTTCACGTGTTTTGCAATAAGAGCAGTGCACATTGAAGTTGCTTCATCCCTGGACACAGATTCTTGCATTAATGCATTTCGACGCTTCATTGCAAGGCGAGGACAGGTCAAAAAGTTGCGGTCAGACAATGGCACCGACTTTGTCGGTGCAGAGCGCGAGTTGAGACGAGCCATTGAAGGATGGAACTTGGAACAGATCAATGATGCACTCTCGTTAAAGGGAATTAAATGGACCTTCAACCCTCCCACTGGATCACATCATAGAGGAGTATGGGAGAGGTTGATTCGCTCTGTCAGAAAGGTCCTTAATTCTACTTTGAGGACACAAAGTCTGGACAAGGAAGCACTCTGCACAGTGCTCTGTGAAGTGGAATCAATTCTTAATGGTAGACCTATCACTAAGGAATCCACAGATCCAAACGACTTGGAAGCATTAACTCCAAATCACCGTCTGCTTCTTAAAACTAAACCATGTTTACCTCCTGGGCTGTTTCAGAAAGAGGACATGTATGCACGGCGAAGATGGAAGCAAGTCCAATATATGGCTGACTTATTTTGGAAAAGGTGGACTAAGGAGTACTTACCACAATTGCAGGAATGACAGAAATGGACAAAGATCAAGCGGAATTTAATTCCTGGAGACATCATACTTGTAGTGGATGATTCTGCGCCCCGCAACTCCTGGATCACTGGAAAGATAACCAAGTGGTTCCAGACAAAAGAGGACTTGTGAGACTAGTCTGGATCAAGACCCAAACCAACCGTATATGCAGGCCTGTAACCAAGATCTGCCTTTTGCAGGAGTCAGCTGAATCCTGATTGCGGTACTTGGATATGATCTTTTGACTGAATTGACTGGACTATTTTTTTGACTTTTTTCTTTAAAGAGAAAACATTGGATAACATAAGAACATTGGATCACCTTTTTTATGATGGACTATAATTAATTTATTTTGTTGTTGTCTTGTCCCCCGCATGTGTAATGTATATGTAATTATTACTGTGTATTAACTGTAATAATTAGAGGCCGGAATGTAAGAGCCAGGTATAGTTCTATTATTTTGTACACATTTTTTGTGTTAATGGCGGCACCTGATGGTGGCGGAAGTAGTAAGAATTTAGCTGTTCACCTGTGTGTTTGGGTAAGAGGGGGTGACGGAGGAAGTCTTATTTTTTGCTGACCGCTAAAGAGCCTTTTACGCTGTTTAATGCCGTTTATCATGACTTTTGGACACCATTTCGTATGTCAGTGAAACAATTATGGAATGTATTGGACGCACAACCTTGTTTGTTTCTCATGCAAATAAATCTACAAAACGCAATCTTTGGATTCATGATCATTATCAGCAAGCGCATCAGACAAGTTAGTTTCCTCTATTCAGCCTCTCGGCGGCGAAATTCATGGTCTTAAGATAGTCGCCTAATAGTATGCCTGCACGCTATATAGCCTACACATTGGACCAGCCGGGTTGTGGCTAGAAGGGATACAGCTAAAACCAGAAGCTAACAATTCTACACCTACCCCTTACAATAATGCTATAACAGTAATTATTGCTGTACAGTGTGACAAAAGATTACGCTATATTGATGTGCGCATGCCCAGAAGACAAATCTGTACAGCCTTAACTGGGGGTGCTTCTCAATTCTTATTTGTGCATCCTCGTTTCCTTGCTACCTTTCCTCGCGTCTTCGCTCCACCCCCCTTAGGATACGAGGGACGGATGCAAGGAAAGGAAATTAGGACGGAGGAATCAAAGGATGAACATTGGAATATTCTCGACCACTCAAGCCTCACTTCAAAGCGTTATCAGCTGCGCTAAAGGGATCTGCCCTTATGTTGTTAAAGTTTGTTATTTAAGGCATTCATGATAAATATAAATAAAGCAAGATGCCCTGTTGAAATATTTGACATGTATGGTTTATTTAAACTGCAAAGTTAAAATATAAATGTAAATTATTATGACAGATGTGAAGGGGGAGGAGAATTTATACGTGTGTCACGTTTAGTCGATAAAAGACTTCCGCAAAGGATTCACCTGTGTATCCTCGCTCATGACTCCTCAGGAAGCCTCCTCACTCCTTGATCCTTGCCTCCTCGTGGTGCAATTAGAGAATGGACCATTTTCACAAGATTGTGATGACGCGTTTAACGGTCATCAGCATCGTAAATCCTCAAAAGTTTTTCATATTTGTATTTTTTTTAAATATATGTATGTTTATAACACTATTCTTTGTATTATATCACCTTTGCATCAAATT